GGATGAGGAATCCAGGACATAAGCAGAAAAGTTGGATTTATTCCATGCCAAAGGACTAACAGGGATTTTTTTTCCTTATTGTGGGAAAAAAAAAAAAAGGAAAAAAAAAAGTTTTGTTTCTTTTCAGCATCAGAGTGTGGTCCCAATGTAGCGATTTCCTCAAATAGTGACCCTCTGGGAAATGATGGTCATAAAACTAATTTACAAAAGCCTGAGATAAATATTAAAATAGAAACACAAGGTTTTAGCCTTCTGCAGGTTTGAAGGAACTTGGAGTAAATATTTACCTTGACGTTTCTGCCATGGAATTACTTTGTGAATCTTACCATGAAGAAGATGACTTTTTTTCCAGTTATTCTCAATAGCATTTCTCTCAGGGTGATCACTGCCTTTTCTTTTCACAGTCTAGTGTTATATTGAAAATGCTGTAAGCGTGCTCACACACTGTGGTGAATTCAAAAGGGTACTTATGCCAAGAAACAAAAGGCATTCTCTTTCCCTATGGCTTCTACCACCCTTACTTGGGGAGTTGATAAATTGGCCTTTTATGGAGATTTTAACACAAGAAAAATAAAAATGTGTAGATTTTTGTGGTAGAGGTTGGGAAGAAATCTTGGTTTAAAAAATGAATCTTTTCATCTGTGTCTACAGGACAAACTTCCATTAACTGTAAAATAGAAAGTCTAGGTTTGTCAGACTGCTTTGTATGTTGCCAGACACCCAGGTTAATGATTTTCATTTTAACTGTATAGATTGACTGTCTTGAAGTTAGGGGCACCAGTGTACTGTCCTTGGATACTTGAATCATTTTGTCTATATTTTCATCACTTAGTGCTGTGCTCAGAAATGTGTAGAATTGTGGGTCTACATGTGTATGTTTATGTAAGGAGATTTTATCTGCTGTCTGTGTGCGTGCATGTGTGCGTGTGTGTGTGCCTGTATGTCTGTACCTTCCTGTTGGCCTTCACCCTTCTTGATGCTCTATGATGCCTCAGGCAGAGTCTGCAACAAAATTGAGCTATTGAGTGAATTCAAAGGAATAGTTGCTTTGTAATCAAACCAAGAACATAATAAGACTGCTCTAATATTCAACCTAGTCAGTTATTACAATATAATTTATCCAAACATGCAACTCTCCCTTTTTTATGCAGAGAAGGGAAACTTCCTTCTGAAAAAGTTAACTCTTCTTCAGATAACTCCTTTGATTATCCACATGTGTTACTTTTAGCTTCTTGTCTATAGGCACCTCTGCTCTCAGTACTGAAATGACTAATATAACCCAACAGGCAAGTTTCTTGACATGGTGCCTTTACTTTTTGCATAGTGTTCATTTTACTTAGGACTTGAGGCAAAGCAACATAGCATCTATGACCATAGCACCACCAAAACTGCTTTCACAAAGTCTTTGTGGCTTCATGTTGCAAAAATTCAATCTTTATTGTCTTCTTTGCAGGATTTGACAATGTTCACAACTCCCTTTTCCTTAAAAGGCTTTGTCTTTTTGGCATCTATGTCCTCAAACTTAAATTTTCCTTCCATTTTTGTAGCTCTTACTTCTGTTTCCTTCATTTTATATTCCTCTGCTTATTGTCTAAATATTGTAATGCAATCCTGCCTCAGTATGAGGGGAATTGGTTCCATCCAGGATCTCCATTGATAAAATAAAAATCTATGGATATTATATAAAATGGTGTGATTTGCATATAACCTAGGCATATATTTTAAATCCTCTCTATATTATTTATAATATCTAATGTAATGTAAATGCTATGTAGTTATATACTATGTTTTTAAAATTTGTATTTTTCATTGTTGTCTTATTTTTTTTTCTGCATTTTTGTTTTCTTTTTTTTTTTGAGACAGTCTCCCACTGTCTCCAGGGCTGGTGTGCAGTGGTGTGATCTTGACTCACTGCAACCTCCACCTCCCAGTTCCAAGCGATTCTCCTGCCTCAGCTTCCTGAGTAGCTAGGATTGCAGGTGCCCGCCACCATGCCCAGCTAATTTTTTTTTTTTTTTTTTTTTGGTATTTTTAGTAGAGATGAGGTTTCAGTATATTGGCCAGGCTGATCTCGAACTCCTGACCTCATGATCCACCCGCCTCAGCCCCCCAAAGTGCAAGGACTACAGGCATTGAGCCACCGCACCCGGCCTTCTGGATATTTTTTATCCCAAGTTGGTTGAATCCACAAATGCAGAACCCACAGATACGAATAACCAAAAATACTATGAATTTTTTCCTCTCCTTCTCTCACTGTAAATAATTTCCCTGGATAACCTCAGTATAATTCCCATTTAATCAATTATTACTTTTATTTTTACATAAATATCTCTTCTGAAATGCAATCATTCTGCTGTCATAGAACTTAAAATCTAGGAAGAGCTTGGCAGATTATTTATTTTAGTTATTATTTTTCTTAATTCTTGCTCCTTTTACAGGCAAATAAGTTAAAAGCTTTAGATTATAAATTGCACACCTATTAGTCCTGAGTCGAAGTTTAGAACATTTTACACATTAATCAGGCTGCAAATTTTATGAGGATGTCTATGACATTAAACCTGGGGTCTGTTTGCCTTATTTCTTGACTTCTGAGCAACATTCAATCAATTGAGTATTGACCTCTTCCTTCTTCTTAAAACACTTTCTTCTTTAAGGTTTCATTGATTACACTCTAATTTTCTTGTGACATCCCTGAACGTTGCTTCTCAGCCCCACACAGTCTTCTTCTCCACTTCCCAACCAGGGAGTTGGAATTCTTCATGGCTCAGTCTAGTGCCTTTTCTTGTGTCTCTCATGGCTTCTCATGGCCTGTTATTCTTGCTGTATTCTTTGAACTTGGCAATGGAATAACAGTCTATCCACTTACATAAAGCAGATACTTTAAGATTTTCTTTGACATCTTTATTTCCCCCATCTCTCATATCCAATAAATCAGTGATCCATTTGATTTTAGGTCCTGAAAAAATATCGAAACTGATTATCTTCTCTTTATTTTTGTCATCACTACCCTGTTTTATACCACCAAAGTCTATTTCTAAGATTACTGCAACGGGCTAGTTGACATTGGTCTATCTCCACTTTTGACCTCAGACAATCCATTTCCGATATGGAGGTCAGAATAATCTTTTGAATACCTGCTCTCTTTGCATATACACACATTTGTATACCACATATATTCAAACATCAAACCCTTAAATAGCTACCTATTGCCTTTATGATATAAATGGACATCCTTATCAGGTACTACAATTCAATTCAGTGTCTACTTCATTATTTCATACATGTCGTCTCTCTAACATTTTCTCAGTATTTCAGCCCCTGTATTCTTGTAGGTTATAATCACATATGCCCTGTCCTTTATGATTCAAAACATTTTGCATGTTGTTCTTGGTGCTTGCAACACCTGCCTCCAGCCTTATTCCCATCATCTTTTAGTTCTGTTTGATAGTATAACTATTATAGTGGTTAAAAATTTGTCTTGGAGTCAAGTTGAGAGTACACAAATCATAGCTTCACTACTTCATAACAATGGAACTATGGACAAATTACTACATTTTGTGTTCTTTAATCTTCTCACTTAAAGTACAGGGATAACAATACTAACTAGTTCTTAGGTCTTTTATGATTATTAAATAGATTAATTCACATAAAGTGTTCAGGAGAGTGTCTGATACCCGTAAGTATTCCAAAATAATATATATCATTTTATTTATCTCTATTATACATTATCATTTTGAGCATCGTCTTCATTTTGTTGGTTTGCAAATGACTTTCTTCAAGAAATCTTTGCCCTCTAAACTAAATCAGACTACTCTTTAAAACCCTGTTTAATAGTTCACAGTTGATGAAATTAAAGTTATGTATCTCCCTAATAAGGATGCCAAAAATCACATCTTAGCACATTTTGAGAACATACCAGACACTCCACAAATATTTTTAAATAAATGAATGGCCTACTGTCTGTCTTAGTCTGTTTTCTGTTGTTGTGACAGAATAGCCTGATTTATAGAGAAAGGAGGTTTATTTCTTACAATTCTGCAGGTTGGAAAGTCTAAGATCAGGCAGCCACATCTGTTTGGCTTCTGGTGAGGGCCTCATTCTGTATCATAACATGGCAAGAGGTCATGAGTACAAAGGGTAAGAGGGATAAACTGGCTTTCATAACAGAAGCATTATGATGACAACTAACCCACTCCTGCAACAACCCATTAACCCATTAATTCATTAGTCTATTAATGTATGAATGGAAAAATCCATTAATGAGGACAGAGCCCTCATGAACTAATCACTTCATAAAGTCCCCACCTCTTACTACTGTTACATTAGGGTTTAAATTTCAATGTGAATTTTGGAGAGAACACAAATTCAAACCATAACATTATTTAATATGGATGGTGACATACACTGTGAACACAATGCCATATACATATATCTGTAACATTGCAAAGCATTCTGAGACTTACAAGTTAAAACTGTTTATTTCATAGTTCGTGAAATTACCAAATTAATGGACAAAAGAAATCTGGAATTTGTGTCAAACCAGAACACTAGAATGAGAGGAAGCATTCCTATGCACTAAATTTTGAAATTAAAAAAAGTAATAAACAATGGGAGTATTACTTTTCAGTTTGATAAGCCCATCTAAATTATGTAATTCTAATAAATAATACAGGCTGAATACACAGATTTAGAAAACTTTATGGTATATCCACAGACAGTAAAAATCCACATATAAAGAAAACATGAATATTTAGTGTTCTTATGTTACCATTAAGAACAGTCACACAGTATCACAAACCATGTGGAGATGGTCTGATAGTATTCTCCAAAATTTTTTCATCACATACCTTTCTAAGTTAAAAAAAAGGAAATATATACCTACAAATATAAGTATATTTATTTAGGTACATATTTACACAAGTCCTATGATATTATATATATTATAAAACAGAAGCCAAAAAATATAAATTTTAACAGGACAAGATATAAAAGGAACTTACAAGTTGTAATGATTTATTTTCATGTCCTATTGGGTTGTCTTGCATATTTCCTGGAATAGGGGTATTCTACTTTGAAGACCCCGAGCCTGGCATAAGAAGCCGTAGTCTAGAACTGAGGCAGCCAGATGCCTAGGCAGATAAAAAGGAATCCCCAGAGAATCTCCTACCCACCCCACAAGTGTTTATATCAGATGCTTTTGTGCAGATGAGGGAGCCTGTCCAGGGCTTGTCTGGGCATGCCTACAGTAAACTGGAGCATGACATGCGCACTGGGGGAAGTGGGCAGAGCCACAGGAATTCACACTAGTGCAGAGGAGGAGTCTGCTCCCTTGAGTTCCTGTGTGGTGGCCTGGGATTCATCTGTGAGGTCAAAGGCCTGTTAGCAGGACTCTATTTCACTTTGCTGAGGTTTTTTTTTTTTTTTCCGCCCAATAAAACTCTCCTCTACTCACCTTTCAATGTGCCTGCATGCCTAAATTTTCCTGGTCGTGTGACAAGAACCCAGGTTTTAACTGAACTAAGAAAAGTTCTGCAACAGAATGTGTCCTGGACATCATCTAGATTTACTTTATTGTTGTTGCTTTCATTTTCAAGTTATTTCTTAGCAGAATTTTATCCAAAGATGGTAATTTCTCATTTCTTTCTTAGCCATTTTCCCACTTCCTACTTGTCTCTGATGAAAAAAAGTCATTTAAACTTGAGAGCTGTAGTAAGTTTTATTCAACATCAGGAATTTATTAAAAAGTATCAAGCCTGTACTTATTTCAAATTAAGATACTCCTTGTGGTTCATTTCCAGTGATCGGTAATCCCCATATCAAATCACTTTGCTGGGAACATTGGTATTTGATAAATACATTTACAGGGAGCAGTTATCTTCAAACTCCAGTCTCATCAAGCATTGTCCCACCACAAAATATGATCAAAGATTAAGGACTCCAGGGACTCATGGGCTCTAAACTCATCAGCTTTGAATCCTGCTATAAATTATCCAAATGAGGCACTTGGCAAGATTCTTAACTGATTGTGCTATTCGGAACGCCTCCATTTCAATTAGAGGTAACCATGATACATGACAGCAAAGAACAAAACTAATAATTTTCACTGATGTCAGGGAAGGTTATAGGACTTCAGGGAATTATAGCAAGTATTTCGAGAAATGCACATTCACGACAGCCTTCTTTGTCGGTGTGTCTGCCAGTTGAATGAGAAGCTTTTATTTTAGTTTCCTAGTTCATATCAGATGGGTAAAGAATGTATCCATATAAAAGTCTGGCTGACGGGGAAAATTGGTATGTTAAGGGCTAAAAATATCAATGCTAAACCCCCAATTCTGAATCCCTTAGGAGACCAGATGTGTCTTCAGTTTGAATCCTAAGTCTGGGCAAATGCTATGTAGGCAGATGAGGCAACGTGTGCAAGTCAGCAGAAGTTAAAAGACTCCTGAGTCACAAATGTCTGCTCCTCCTGGACTAGAAGCAATCTTGAAATCTCCACTTAATGTTACCTCATAAAGCCAATTGTAACTGGATATATCTGAGCAGTGTAAAACATCAGCTAACACTGTAGGTCCCTTACCTTTTAAAAGTGCCCTGAGGATACGCTTCCCTGAGTTTTTGAGGTTTCCCTGAACAGAAAACTGATCAGTTTCTTTTTAAAAGCAAACTCTGGGAATTGAGGAACTAGGTGTGCTACGTATCAATAGAAAGCAATTTGATTCACTGGTCTTGGCATAGATATAAAAGTCAGAAAAATCTGTTTTCTTGTGCTAATTGACTAATTACAAACTTTATGGCTTTGGCTTCATTTTTCTTATCACTCATTTCAAATAACACACTCCCTAATATTCTCCCCAAATAGGGTCATTAATTTAGTAAACATGTGTTGAGTAGCTACTACAGTAGTCCCTCCTTATCTATGGTTTTGCTTTCTGTGGTGTCAGTTACCTATGGTCAATTGCAGTCTAAAAATATTAAATGGAAAATTCTAGAATTAAACAGTTCACAAGTTTTAAGTTGCGTATTATTCTAAGTAGTGTGATGAAATCTCCCCCTGTCCTACTCCGTCTTGCTTGAGATGTGAGCTCTTTGTCCAGTGTATCTGCTCTGTGCACACGCCCTATGCCTGAGTCACTTAGTAGTCATCTTCATTATCAGATTGACTGTCACACTATCACAGGGCTCATGTATGTCACCTGTATTTCACTTAACTGTGGCCCCAAAGTGCAACCGTAGTGATGCTGGCATATTGTTATAATGACTCTGTAATATTCTTAGTCATTGTTGTTAATCTCTTACTGTGCTTAGTTTATAAATTAAATTTTATCATTGCAAACAAACAAAATAGCTTGTTTCTGAAACTCAACACAATTCTACAAAGTATGTATTATACTCTTAATTTTAATGATGAAGCTTAAGAATGGTGATATGTTCATAGAAACACGTGATTATGCAATTCTGTTCTTGTGGGAACATCATAGATGGTACTCAAACCTAACTGGTATACTCTATGACACACCTAGGCTGGTATACTATTGCTTCTAAGCTACAAATCTGGACAGAATGTTACTGTACTGAATACTGTAGGAAATTGTAACACAATGATAAGTAATTGTGTATATAAATTTACCTAAATATACATAAACTACAGTAAAAATGTAGTACTGTAAGCTTCTTCAAAATTTTTATTTTATTTTAGATTCTGGAAGTACATGTGCATGTTTGATACATGAGTATATTGTGTACTCGTGGGAATTGGACTTCTCGTTTTCCCATTATCCGAATAATCAACCTGGTACTGTTAAGTAATTTTTTAACACTCATTTCCTTTTTACTCTCCCCCATTTCAGTCTCCAGTCCCCTAATATTTCCATCTTTATGTTCATGTGTACCCATTATTTAGCTCCCACTTATAAGGAGAACATGTGGCCTTTGATTTCCTGTTTCTGAGTTATAATGTCCTCTAACTCCATCCATGTTGCCGCAAAGGACATGATTGTATTCTTTTTTTATGGCTGCATAGTATTCCATGGTAAAAATACGGTGTTATAATCTTATGTGACCACTGTGGTATATGTAGTACTTATTGACTGAAAAGTCCTTACATTGCACATGACTGCATGGGAAAAAACAAAACATGTATAGGGTTTGGTACTATGCACAGTTTCAGGCATCCACTGGTGTTCTTGGAGCATTTCTCACAGGTAAGAGAGGACTGTTGTATGTTGAAAAAAGTTTATTACCTATCATGGAAGGATACAAAAATTAGTAAGTTTGTTCTCCCTCACCTCAAAGAGTTTTTGTATGATCCTGCAGAAGACATATTAAAAACAAATAAAAAGGCAAGAAGGCCTAGCTCTTCCTGACAGATTATGATAATAGCTGTTTTTTTCTGTTCTCTCTCTCCCAAATTCATAACTCCAGAATAACCATGAGAATATCAGAGAAACCCAAATTGAGGAACATTCTAAAAAGCATCTTACCAGTACTCCTCAAATTGTCAAGGTCACGAAAAACAAGGAAAAACAGAGAATCTGTTGCAGATCGGGGAGACTAAGACGATGTGATGACTAAATGCAATGTGGTATACTAGATTTTGGAACAGAAAAAAAAATTAGTAAGAAAAAACTGTTGAAATCCAAATAAAGCCTGTAGTTTCAAGAAATATACTAATACTGGTTTTCTAAGAAGTGTGCCGTGGTAATGTCACATACTAACATTAGGAGCCATTGGATGAGGGTTATACGAAAACTTTCTGTAATATATTTGGAACATCTCTGGAAATGTAAAATTCTCCCAAAATAAAAAGTTTACGGAAAAATTAAAAATCACAAATATAACTATAATGCAACGCAAGGTATGACAACTGCCACAAGATAGAAATGAAATTCTGTGGGACTTTGGAAGTGGAGAATATCACCTCTATGTAAATTGAAGACGAATGCTCTTGTAGCAGTATGCAAGACCTGTTTCAAATGCTTGCCCTAACCCTATGCAGCCCCCTTCTACAGACCCAAACCATCTGGCATTTTCTTTTTTGATTCAGGATAAAAGTCCAACCCTATCTTTTTCCGTGGGGAATAGGCTTGCAAGATCAGGGACCTATTCTGAGTGTCTAGCCTTAGATATAATAGAAAAGTGTTTTACTAGTATGCAAGACACAGTGATTCTATGTTTATCTAGCTGCATGAAATATACCAAGGTGGGTTGGGGAGGGTGCTATGGGAGCTGTATTTTGTTGCTCCAGATACTAATAGGATGCTTTGTCTGTAGACATTTTAAAAAACAATAAAGCCGGCCGGGCGCGGTGGCTCAAGCCTGTAATCCCAGCACTTTGGGAGGCCGAGACGGGCGGATCACGAGGTCAGGAGATCAAGACCATCCTGGCTAACACGGTGAAACCCCGTCTCTACTAAAAATACAAAAAACTAGCCGGGCGAGGTGGCGGGCGCCTGTAGTCCCAGCTACTCGGGAGGCTGAGGCAGGAGAATGGCGTAAACCCGGGAGGCGGAGCTTGCAGTGAGCTGAGATCCGGCCACTGCAGTCCAGCCCGGGATACAGAGAAAGACTCCGTCTCAAAAAAAAAAAAAAAAAAAAAAAAAAAACAATAAAGCCTAATTATAAGTTGATATGTAATTATCAACTTACCGTGCACCACTAATTTTAAACAATATCAATGATAAAATTCTTCCTCCCATTGGAACGGACCATTTCCATCACCACCGTCCCCACTTCTATATTCCACTGCCAGGCAGTTTTGTCCCTGTAATAGAGAACCTGACTTGATTCTTTTGATGCTAGCCTGCTGACAACCGTTAATCCTCACTCTTCGCCCTTCCCCTTGTGCCTCCCATCTCAGCAAGCTGATATAAAAATCTGGGTACCTTTTTCTTCAGCACAGGTGGGAAGTTCAAACCATGCAAGGTCCTACACGTGTGCGCGAACCTTCACACTGGCTACATCCCATAAGCAACATATAAACTCCAGTCAGCTTCCTTTCCTTGGTCTCTCAGTCTCTTTTCAGATCTGCTTGGAAGATAACCTGCTCCCCCCAAGAAAGCCTCATTTCATGAGAAATAAATATTTGCATATCTTTTTTTTTTTTTTTTTTTGGAAATGGAATCTTACTCTGTCACGCCCACACTGGAGTGCAGTGCCGCGATCTTGGCTCACTGAAACC